TCCTGGCTTTCTTCTGATGTGACTTGCTCTGGCAGGCGCCAGATCCCAGACCCAGGGAAGGGATGCTGGGAGAAGAGAGGCCAATTTCATGCCATTAAGAGGTGGCAGGGACATTCCTGAGAGCTCAGAGCCACAGTCTGGAGGGACTTGGCAGCTCTGCCCCGTCTCCAACCCCAGACACCCCCAGTGCTCTGCTCTGGCTCCCAGCCCTTTTCCTATTCCCTTGCACAAATCCCAATTAATATGATTCCAACTTCTGGCTATGAAAAATAATAAATGTGAGGGACCATGGGGCATTCTGGGGACCCTTTTCAGCACAGATGAAGCAAAGGGGAATTACTTTCTGAGGCTGGAAAAATCCTTGTTTAGGGAGAAAATAAATCCCAGCTCCTCCAACCACAGCAGCAAGTACAGTACTGAACTGAATCCCCTTATTTCACATCACTGGGCAAAAATCAGACTTTTTTTTTTCTCAGACCTTTAAATTAAACAACTTCTTCAGCCAAACAAGAACCATCTGCCCTCTCCCACCTCTGCTGGGATGTGGGGATCTGCGCTCCGAGGGTGATGGATTGAGCACGGAGCCAGCAGAGCCCGTGACCTCCCAACCTGCAGCTAAAACCAGACAAATCCTTGGGAAGGCGCCTGCAAATGGATGATTTTCATCTGCTCAATAACAGCCTGCTGTCCTCTTGGCTTCTCCACAGGCTGATGCAACCGAGTTTTTCCTGAAGTGTCGGGGGTGATAAGGAAGGATAAATCACCCGGATGAGATAAGCACCCATAAAATGAAGTCATCTCAGGACAGGTCCGGACATATATATTTCATTGTGAAAGAGCTCCTTTATTCCCACTAATGGAACAAATGAAATCAGCCAAGCTGAATAAAACTCTCACGTCCCAAGATGTAACAAGGCACTTAAAAGTTCTGCGTTCCTCCGGCGGCGCAAGCCGATCACTCGCGGCTGTCCCTCGGAGAAGTGGAGGAGCAGGGACAGAGTGCAGGAATTCTGCAGGTGACAGGAGGGTGTTCCCAGCACGAAGAGAGTCCCAGCAGTGTGCATTTCTCCGTGGCACTCCTGCAGGCAGACTGAGCAGCTCTCTGGAGTGACCTCACACCCTGGGATGGATTCCAGCCACGTCCAGAGCAGCTGCCCCTGGGACAGTGGCACAGGTGGCCAGGACAGCAGTGGCACCCCTTTTCCAGGAGAACTGGGGGTGATGTCATTCACACACTTTATCCTTCACCTCAGGGCACCTGAAATAACCACACCTGGGCCCTTGCCTGCAGCACTGCAACACCTCCACATCTCCAAGCACACAAATTAAAACCTTATCACCACTGAGCAACTCAGCGCTGGGTGAAGCCCAGGTACAACATCACAGTTCCAGCTTTTCCCTCGCCTCTACCACCCAGGAGCATTCCCAGCCCGTGGGAAGGCAGGCAAGGCTGCAGGAACTGCATTTTTCCTACAGCCAGCATAAACAGCGTGATGGAAAAATAATACCTAGATGGCGACTGGCAGACAGAGCAGAGACATTTATTTATTCTTGATCACAAACAATGTCCTGCATTGACAAGCTGAATGAAGGGCACTTCACTGATTTATTAGACCTAATAAGAAGCAGACCTCTCGGGATGAAATACAAGATTGATTTTTAGTGGTGAGCCTTGCTGCCATCCCAGGCACTGAGCTCAGGCTGATGAGATGGAACCAGGCGTGCACAGGGAGGGACATGGGGCTGACACAGCTCTGCTGGGGCAGGGCAACACACGGGAGGATTGCCACGGGGAAGGGGAGGTGCAATGGAAACACAGCAGTAACAGCCCTGCACGCTGCTCTTTTCTCCCTGCAATCCTCCTCTCTCCCACTGAGGCTGCGGATCCCAAGAGCAGCAAACCACTGGGAAGTTTAAGGGAAGATCTGGTAGAATTCCTGGGAAACCTCTGAGCCAGACCCTCCCCATGAAGCTGCCTTCCAGAGGAGCCCCTCTAAGCACAGCCAGTGCCATTTCCACATCAGGCTCACCACATGAGCTGAGTTCTGTGGATGCCGTTTTCCATCAGGAAAAAGCCAACCAGCACAGCAGTGCTTAGCTTGAGGCCCTATTAATAGCAGTTCTAATTATATGGCTGCAAATTTAATTCATGGCAATGATTAGTGTCAAAATCAAAGGCATCACACATCAATATTGATAGAATTGTATGAAGCCCATAAACAGAACAAGCAAGCTGACACATCTCCCCCCAGCACTTAGTTGCTGTTAACCGTTGCATTAATGTCCCTTCTCATTTTGCTTGATGGAAATGGTTTTGTTGGAGGAATCCCCGATTCTGAATGGTTGTGTCTCCAGCATGGGCCCCTTTCCCCTCCTTCCCACAGCCAGGGGGCTGAGGTGCTTTGGAAGGAGAGCAGGAGGGAGAATTTCATCCCACTACCTGTGCTCGGGCCAAAGGGCCACAGCATCAGCAGCATTTGCTTTTCACCCTCTCTGAGACAATTCCTGGGCAGCAGAACCAGCAGGAGCTGGGAATGTGGCAGGAGCAGTGAGGTGAAGAGCTAAAGGCAGGAGGACACCAGAGGGATATCCCAGTGTTTCCAGTAAGGAATCCTCACTGGGAGAGCACAGGCAAATTTGGAAGATTTCAGAGCCATCTCCCTGACTTTCCTCCAGCTACACAAAAATGCCTTCCCTGAAAGCCCAGACGGAGCCAGCAGCTCATTTCCAAAGGAAATCAACAGCTGTGGGCGAGGGAATAGGTGTGACAAAGCTTTCAGACATTAGTTGTGTGGGTAGACCTGAGACGGAGGAGGACACGGAGGAGATCAGGTGGAAAAGGCGTCTGCACAAAGCCCTGGCACTCACAGAGGTGCTGAACGTTTCCACCATCATTTCACAGATGGGCAAGGAGAGATAAGGAGAGTCCTGAGCATCCTGAGCACTCGCTGACCTGGAGACATGTCTGGTTATCTTGGAACAGGCACAAAATCCAGAGACAACCGGTTACCTTCCCTCCTCTGCAGCCAGAGCCCCTCAGCTCGGTGCAGAGCTGCTTCCTACGCCTCACCTGGGCTCCCTCGGGCCATGGAAAAGACAATCCCACGTGTCAAAGGAGGGAAAATCTGCTAAAGGTGTAGACAGAGCTGGGAGAGAGAGAACAGCATCCTCAGCCCCACACAGGGGAGGACGGGACCAGGATTGTTCCAGTTAATTACAGGGGGCATGGATCCCACCAGCTGCAGGCAGCTCTGCTGTTAAACAAGGGCAGATGCCATGAAAATCTGACTGTAGTGAATGTCTGGGATGAGTTTACTTCAGAGATGGGCCAATTTTCATCCAAGAGATAAAGGATTGCAGGTGAAGGATTGCACAGCCCTCCCTCTGGACAGCGGAGCACGAATAGATTAACTTTGCATCAGAAAGCGTTCAGTGTAGACTAGCACCAGGAATTAAACCCTGCTGGAGAGACTGCTGCTTCTGTAATCCTCCATAATTCATGGAACAAGCCCGTAAATACCTCGTGTGCAGGCACAGGCTCTTGGCTGTTGCTGCATCTGAAAGAGGAGCCTCCCCTGTCCCCAAAGCCTGCCCACAGCGAGCACCGGGCTGCATCCCCAGCTCCGGGCTTGGCACAAACCTTTGGGGTGTGCTGGGGGTTTCTCTTCTTCCATTTAGCTAAAAAAAAAACCAAACCCGGCTCTCCCCTGTGCCACGGCACGGGAAGCAGGGAAGAGGAGGGCTCTGCTTTACAAGCTCCCTCTCCCCCACGTTCAAAATTGCCCCACTGACACTCGAGAGGCACCAGGGAGGCACCTAATTTACTACTACTCAGCACTTGTAAAGTGCTGGATGAATATTAATGAACTGATGTAATTAAAATGATGCAGACATTCAAGTGTAGTATCTGCCCGTCCTTGTATCTTCCTGGATAGATGAGGAAGAAATTCCCTGCTGCTTAAGGACTCAAAAAATTAACAGCCTGCTGTTGATTACATTTGTTAACTCTTTCCCTGGCATGAAGGAGCAGGGGCTGCATTTAGCAGGTTCACCTAATGCTGTCATTTAGAGCTGAGGTTAATTGGAAGGGTCTCAGCTTGCCAGAGCAGCAGCTCCAAGGCTGTTTTTGCTGGAGCTGGATCAGACCCTCTGCTGAGCTGGCTTCCAGCTGCAGCTGCAGCTCCAAAGGCCAGCAAGGGCTCTCACACACCTCTGTTTACACCCCAAGGCCACTTCCAAACTTGTTTTAAATGCAGAAGTCCTCAGAGTTCCCTTCCAACTCAGAATATTCTGTGGTTTTGTGACTCAGAAGTGGCAAAATCCCAGCTGGACTTCAAAAGCCTATAAGTCATTCAAGGTCAGATTGGACAGGGCTTGAAGCTACCCAGGCTAATGGAAGGTGTCCTTGTCCATGTCCCTTCCAACCCAGAAACATTCGGTGGCTCTCACCTGAGCCCCACCAACCTCCCCTCGGTGTTTGTGATGCGGAGGACAAGGAATGTTCCAGGGCTGATCAATCATCCAGCAGGAGGGAAGAGGCACAGGGAGGCAGCAGGACTCTGCCCTGAGGCTTGCTTCCAAAAGCAGCCACATTAACCCATTCCTGTCTCTCCATGACCAAAATCCTGCCGGCACCAGCAGCTCCAAAGGCTTTGTAACTCACACTCTTCTACACCAGTTGCAGAAGGATTGCTGGGAAACAAAACTATTGCACGATTTCCATCTGACCTCCTTTGGTTCCTTTCCCAGGACCGTCCTGCAACAGCTTCAACTTCACCTTCCCCGAAACTCCAACAACAAACCACACCAACAACACTGAGAGCTGAGCTCTGTCTCTCCAACACCAAGCTGTGACCAAACCCTGCCATTTCCACTCCTGCTCCACTCCCAGTTTCTGGCTGGGGAACACCCGTGAGACGCAGCAGCAGTGAGGCGCATCCGAGCGTCCCGAGAGAGACAAACGCAGCTCCCAGCCCTCCACAGCCACGTGCAGGCCTTACCTTCTTCAGCCTGCCCGTCTTGGTGCCCACGAAGACCACGCTGTAGCCGTTGTAGACGTAGGAAGCCACGGAGGTCATGCGGTCGCGGCTGGAGGTGAAGAGCGTCACCCCCTCCACGGGCACCGAGCCCCCCAGGGGCTGGTTGATGTCCAGCCCACAGAAGTTGTCATCGATGGGGACTGGCTGGAAAGACAAGGTTTGGGGCAGCTGTGAGTGATGCAGAGCTCAGGGCGGCCCCGCACACTTGGGGTGGTGTGGAGGGAGCTGGCGGTGCTGGCAGCAGGGTGGGGGCCACCAATGTGCCACCCCCTGCCAGCTCCAGCCACCTTCCCCAGGGCTCCTGCAGCTTCCAGAGCCCAGGCTGGGAGTGACAAGGACTCCCAGGAAGCTGCACACCTTTATTCTGCCTTAACACCATCCCTTCCCTCATTGTCATCTCACTGTAAGGTGACAGCGTGGATTAAAGGGGAAGAGTGCTCTGAATTTAGGGAAACTGAGGCACAGACTGATCCTACTCTGCAAACTTATGTTCCATGGGGGCAGGGATGGAACCCGGCTCTCGAGGGCTCCCACAGCCACCACCCAGCTCACCCTTACCGCTTTGGTGCACTGGACATCCTTGCCCAGCAGCCAGTTGAGCTCCAGGTTGCCCTCGCCCTGGTAGCAGGACTGCAGGCGCTCCTTGATGTGGGCGTTGACGGTGCGGATGGGGAAGGCGCAGAGCGCCGAGTCGTCGGGCGGGTGGTGGTACTGCTTCTGCCCCTTGGAGAAGATGGCAAAGAGCACGTCCTCCTGCGCCGTGATGTTGAGGGCCCTGGCCAGCACCTGGCCCGGCTTGGACAGGTAGGCAGCCTGCAGCAGCCGGTACTCCGTGTCGCCCTTGACGCAGCCGAAGGGCAGGGACACGTACGAGTGGAACTTGGGGTCGTCCTTGCACAGGCGGACGATGCGCGAGGTGTAGAAGAGGTCGCTGGCGGAGTTGATGGAGACGCCCTCGGGGGTCTCGGGCTGCACCGTCAGAAAATAGACGAAGTTACCGCTGGCGAAGCCGTAGATGTAAAAAATGTCAAAGTGCGACACCAGGGCCAGCGTGTCCGAGGGGATTTTGATGAGGGACGAGACAAAGTCACTGTGGAGCTCGTAATCCAACATCGCCGACGACTCCGGGTCCCGGGGCAGCTTGCGGCTGGACAGGGTGGGGAAGTAATCCTGCTTGCCATCCACCGCCGTGCCGATGAAGAGCTTCCCATCCTCGCCCTCGGAGCGCACGATCACCCCGTACATGGTGCCCGTTTTGTTGACGCTGGAGAGGTAATGCTCCTTCTTGTGCGAGGGCTCCACCAGGATGAAGAGGTCGTCGAGGCGCAGCAGCTTGCAGACGCCCTGGTAGAGGCTGCCGCAGGCCAGCAGCCGGTTCTCGGAGTAGTCGATGATGAGCAGCTTGTTGACGTTGTTGGTGAGCGTGAGGACCTCGCTGCAGGGCTGCACGATGAGGGGAGGGTAGCAGGACTTGTTGTCCTCCTCGGGGCCGGTTTTGTGAGCCACCAGAATGGTCAGGTTCCCCGAAAGCTTGTACACCCTGTTGATGGCCCCCACGTAGACGGCGCCGGTGCCCCGGTGCACCGTCAGGTGGTTGAACGTCCAGTCCCGGTTCTCCGAGTGGAAAGTGTTGAACAAGGCATTGCTGGACACGTTCCGGGAGAGCGATGCCAGGAAGAGGCAGAGCAGAGCCACTGAGCAGCCGTCAGAGTCCAGTACCCGAGGCCAGCTCCTCCTCTGATCCATCCTGGGAAAGGCAAGCTCCGTGTCCCCCGCGCGTGTCCTGAGCCCCGGCAATGTCCCTCACATGGTTCTGTGGAGAGAAGAACCACCCAGAGCGAAGGATTAGATCCCGTGTGCCCTGCAGATAAAATTCAAAGGAGGCTTTCTAATTACACAGTCCTTGAGATAAAGGGAGGATGTCTCTAAGCACAACGAGAATTAAGCGAGTCCACAACTTAGTGGAGAACAGTTCAGGCTTGGTGCTTTGCCACTTGATTCAGCCCCTGCATCTTAATTTGTGGTGGGGTTTGGCTGTTTAGAACATGCTCAGACAGGGAGGGAAGAATCAGCTCCAGCCCAAGACAAAGCCCGTGGCTCACAGCCCCAGCCACCCATCTGCAATCTTGGCTGAAAGGATGTCTCCTGCAGGGTGTGTTGCTGGAAGCAGCAGAGGAAATAAGAGCTGTTCTTTACCTTTAAACCCTCTCTGATTTAATTTGGGAACCTGAGGAAGACACTTCATGCAGGCAAGTTCATTGAGCACACACACTGAAGGTGCTGACATCTCCCCTCAGACCCTCCCCAGAGCCAGAAGTGCCTCTCAAGCAGGTGCTTTTTAGGCAGGAGCTCCTTCACAAGGTACTTTCCTGCCAAAAAGCAGCTGCCACCAAGGTGGGAGCACATGGTGAGATCAGCCACCACACCCTGCCAGCAGGGGAGAGACCACCAGTGTAGAGCAGCTTGCTTGACCTGACCACGGAGGTGTCTGAGTGCAAGAAAACCACCACAAAGTTCTCCTTTATCCCAAATTCTGCATTCCTTATGTGCTCCAGGAAAGGCAAAGGAACCACTTCAGAGCATCCTCCCTCCCCTTGGGGTCACCCCAGCCCTGGGAGGAGGCTGAGGATGAGGCCCCACTCTGCACCCATCGTGTCCCACACACCCCTCGGGAACCCTGCCCTCTGCAGCTGCTGCTGCTGCTTTGGTTTATTTAAATTTACAACAATTGCAGCGCTGCAGAGGCGCTCTGAGCCGCGGGTGTCACCGAGCAGCCGCTCTTTAGACGGCTGCTCCTGAGAGGTGACAAAGGAGCCCTGTCCCTGCGCTGCCACTGTCAGCAGACACGGCAGGAGAGGCAGCCCGAATGGCTTTCTCATTCTGCTCGGGGAGACATTTCCCCAGCTGCTTCCCTCTCACCTCCAGGCTCGGCATTCCCACCTTGGCCGCGGCAGTTTGTCCGTCCCGGGGAGGACACGGGCCCTGCCACCCTCGGGGTGTGCTGGGCACAGGGCTGCTGCTCCTGCTGCCCTCCCCACAGCCACGGCAGCGCCAGGCTCTCCCCACCACATTTCGGAGTGAGCACCCCACGCCATTCCCTGAGCCAGGATCTTTCCAAAGAGCTCCCCGGGATCTGGGAGTGTCCTTTCCGTGCTGGTGACAATGCGGGCACTGACGCCAGGTCACGGGGCACAGGGGGCTCAGAGCAGCTTTGCCTGCACCCCCTCAGTGCCCCCAGTCCTGGGAATGCTCCTCTGGTTCAAGGGGAGCCCCAAAAGACACCGAGGCCCTGCTGGAGAGCCCTGCACACACAATTTTCCTGCTCAGCATCTTCCAGTTCTTAAAAAGTTGTTCCACTGCAAAGTGAGACAAGGACACTGGAAATGAATGTATTTTAAATAACTGAACTTTACACACATGTGGGTGTGTGGGTCCACGGCAGCTTTAGGTGTTTCTCAGCAGTTTCCAGCCCAAGCCCAGCACGAGGAGCAGCAGAGCTGCCAGCTGTGACCTGCCTCGCTGCTCTGCCTCTCGGGGAAGGCTTTGCAGGGCACTCACGAGCAGCCACTGCCAACGGCCACAGAGACCATCCAGGAGGGAGAGCCTGCCTCTCAAACACGATCTGAACGTGACAGACCGGCCGTGAGCTGCCATCCTCCCCAGCCCTCCCTGATCTGTGTCCCCAGGGCCAGGGGACAAGGTGACGGTGTGGGGCTGGGCAGAGCTCAGCGGTGCGGACACCAAATCCCTGTGATGGATTTTGGGGAGGAATTCTTGGCTCAAAGAGCAGGGAGAGGTTAGCAGATGTTGCCAGCTGTGGCTGCCACATCCCTGATGTGTCCAAGGCCAGGCTGGACAAGGTTTGGAGCAACATGGGATGGTGGAAGCTGTCCCTGCCCACGGCAGGGGGTGGCACTGGATGAGCTTTAATGCCCCTTCCAACCCAAACCATCCCTGTGGAGGAGGACAAACACCTGGGGAGTTAAACACCAGCAGAATGGGTGATTTTAACTCTGATCCTTAATACCATTTGATCATTAATTTTCCCTCTCTTTCTTTTTCTTTTTTTTTTCCTGAAGAGAGTTTTAAAATACAGCCTCAGAAGCAATCTGCAGCTATTAGTAACGCAAGGTGAAAGCGAGAGTAAATTCAGGGACACAATATAAACCCAAGCAGCTGAAAGGCCTCAATTAGGCTGAAAGGAGTTATCTGGTATTTAAATAATTATTAGATTGAAGGAATAATCACAGGTCTGAGCCGATTTTTTCCCCCACTGTCATCCTAATGGAGACTATAATATTATTATTCAAATGCCCATGATTCTCATTGAGGGGGGAAGAAAAAAGGGCTCATTTAATCTCCATGCGACAGGGCTTCAGGAGGCACCATTAGTCATTTCTCTCATTTCAGCTGTCACTCACTCACGGGCACCACAGTTTGTCATTAGTGGCATTTTGTGCAGACCCCAAAAAAAAAAAAAAAAAGGAAAATTAAAGCCAAAACAACAAGAGAATCTCCTGTGGCAAAGGACGGCTCAAAGGCACAATTCTGATGTCACCAGAGTGGCAGCTGTGTTTGCCTGGTGGTGACGGGGGCTTTTCTTTGGGGGTGGGGTTGCTCTGGTGAGCAGTGATTTACACTCAGCTCCTGTTTCCTGGGGTATTTCACCCCTCTGGGTGTGCCCCAGCACCTCCAGGACACAGCAAACATCGCCAGTGCCTCAGTGACCCCAGAACCTGCACTGACCCCCCATCCTCACCCCCATCCTCCCAGCCCCCCAAGCTTTTCCCTGCCTGTCCTTTTTCTGTCCCCGTGCCTCCCCCCGCCCAGAGGCCACCAGGGTCCCCAGGCAGCCGCAGGGGGAGCAGATTGGGCCATAAATCCCACGCTGGCTTTGTGGGGGCTGTGTCCCTGAACAGACCCTCCTGACAGAGCCGGCCGGGAGGGGCAGGGGGGCTGGGATTGCTCTGGAAGTGGGGGGTGGTTCTGCCCTTTTGGCTGTTTGCAGCCCCGTGAGATTCATGGCTGGGAGAGGGGACAGAGGCACTGCCCTCCCTGGGGGTCACCAGGCTGTCACAGCCCCCCAGCACTGCCCGCCCTGGGGGTCACCAGGCTGTCACAGCCCCCCAGCACTGCCCGCCCTGGGGGTCACCAGGCTGTCACAGCCCCCCAGCACTGCCCGCCCTGGGGGTCACCAGGCTGTCACAGCCCCCCAGCACTGCCCTCCCTGGGGGTCACCAGGCTGTCACACACCCCCTGCACTGCCCAAAGGGTCACCAGGCTGTCACAGCCCCCCAGCACTGCCCAAAGGGTCACCAGGCTGTGACACCCCCAGCACTGCCCAAAGGGTCACCAGGCTGTGACACCCCCAGCACTGCCCTCCCTGGGGGTCACCAGGCTGTCACCTCCCTGCACTGCCCCAAGGGCCACCAGGAGGGCAGGCTGCACGTGACAAACCCTCTGGCACAGCCTCAGCCTGAGCCTTTCCCGTCCCGCTGGCTCCATTCTGGATCCGGGAATGAGGGAAAAGCCCCGAGTTTGGCCATTTCCCTGCAGCGAACGGGAACACAGGTGCTGGAGCCTCGTCCCTCCTGCAGCACACTGGGAATTGTCCTGTGAAACCTTTCCAAGCACTGGAGTGATTGATGCTGCAGTGATTGATCCCCTCGCAGGAGTGACACTCAGCACACATTTGTCAGCTGTGGAGGAAGACCTTACAATTATTAATAGGGTTTGGGTTTAATTAGGCAAAAAAGTCCGAGCCAAAGTGTCTGGTGGAAGCTTCTCCAAGGCCTGGGATGTTTCCAGCGTGGATCAGAGGTCTGGATGCTCAGTGCTGCCTCTTTGGCCAGGCCACCACAGCCAGAGGAGCCCCACACCACCCCAGAGCCCGACCCCAAGGGGAGTTACTGCCAGCTTGGTGTGAATAATTGGAATTCTGTAACACAGAGCCATGAGGATGGTTTCCACCACCTCTTCTTGGCCTTTTTTATTTACTATTTTGACTCCAACAACAGCAAGAACAAGTCGTAAATCACCAGTGAGGAGCCTGGAGTCGGCTCCGAGGTTTCTCCAGAGGTCTCCCCACAGGGATGACAAATAACAAACTTTTCCTAAAACACAACCTGAACCCTCTGGGTTTTGGACCCAAATCCACCCTCCTGGCTCGCCCTGTCCCTGCTCTGTGCTGGCAGCCAGGGCAGGACCCTGCCAGGAGCTGTGTCCCCCCTTCCCAGGGCTGCTCCTTCCCAGGGATGGCATTCCACAGCCTTCTGAGAAAGAGTTAAGAGGGCAAAGCACAGCATTGTGATTATTGCTTCCTCCAGGCCTGGGACAAGGAAGAGGAGGGGAAGAACAGAGCCCAGCCACGAAAAGGCATTTCCCTGATAACAAACATCACAGGAATTATGCACAAAATTTGTCCAGAGCCCAGATATTTGTTTATACAGCACACACTGTGCAAAGCTCTCCCCTCCACCTCCCTCCTGTGCACACACATCCCAACGGGTCCAGAGAAACAGAAAAGCCTGCCCTGAGCCCCAGGTTTGGAGCTGCAGCTGGGAGGACAAGGACACAGCACGTCCAGTGCCACCCCTGGCGCTGTCCCAGATTTGCTGGACAAGCCTGGACAAGTTGTGCTCCTCAGTCCCCATCCCCAGGGGGATCCAAAGCAGCACCACAGCCGTGGCTGTCACCCAGCTGTGCCTCACAGCTGGAGTCATTTAACCCAGCAACCCCACAGGGCTTGCAGGAAAACGCATCCCCCAGCCCCGGGCAGCTCGGTGGCAGCAATCAGACACCTTCTCCTGTCCCCACACTTGACACCTGCTCTCTGAGAAACCGCGGCTGGCAGGCTCTGAG